TGAGCCCATTATGGCTCAATAATGCGCCATTCAATTGCATCAAGCTGGTGCCCCGTGAGGCCCAGAGTTCACTGGCATGGGACTCCCGTGTGGGGGAGCCATGGCCGGGCGGGGATGGATCGTATGAGCATCTAGGCTACTAGGGCAGTATCGGCAGCCCAGACTACGGCGACAGGGCCCCGATTCAGCGGCAACCTGAGCGATACGCTCTCGTAACCAGCACAACTAAGCAGCGCAGTCTGGGAAGCACGTCCGAAGCCACATGAGCCGCTGGCGCTCCGCGCCACCCCCATGGACAGTGGGTCCCCGCAACACCACGCAGCACCAGCCCGCCTACAGGCGACCCACGCAGTTCACTCAGGGACAGACAGGGAAGGGCCCTGCGTTGAGAAACCGGAGCAATGCCCATCGCTGTGACGAGCGGCCCCGTGGGCATCCATGGGCCGGCGATGGAGGGGTGCAGCCGTGCGGTGGCTGCGCGTCCCCGTAAGGGGATAGCCCCCTTCCGCCGGGGGAAAACTGCCGCCTCCCTGAGGCCTTTCAGTCTGCCCATAAAGTTTTTAAGGCAGGGGCCTTTCGGTCCAGAGCCCCTAAACCGAATACCCCGGACCCGAGCGGCTGGGACTCGATGGTCCGGGTGGGCGAGGACTGTGCGTAAGGCCGCCTGCGGCAATCTGAGCTGGTGGGATTACGGAGGAGGGGCTTCCCGCCGATCTGACCGGAGAAGGTTTGCGGCGGCGCCCCTGTGTGTGAAACGCACCGGCCCGGAGGCCTGGGCGGGGCAGCGAGGGGTGTTGTGGGATGGCTGGCTCCGCGGCTCCGCGGGTGGGCCCCGGAGATGACTCAGCGGGGGATGGGCGTGGGCGTGGTGTGATGAGGGAATCGCAGATATCGCTGGCAGGTTCGGGCTAAATCGGGCGCCATCAAATTAACCTATATGTTACTTCGTCATGAGCAGCACGGAAACGGGCCAGCCAGCATGCAAGTTTCCCAGGCAATCATTATAGGGATGGAGTGGTCATTAAGGGGAGGACAAGATACCAATAGATCCCGAATTTTATTAGCAATCGAATGGTGGTTTTTATTGTTGATTTGATGAAGAATTGCGTCTTCTAGGGGATTTTTTCGATGTATGGCAGAAGGCCACAGGGAACCAGGCTATTCGGAGGCCTGACAAGTGACTGATTGAACTGATGGTCAGTCAGGGGGCGGTGGACGGGATGTTGAGACGCGCGCGCATAGATTCCATGCGGATTTCACGCTGTGCGCACGAGAAGGCCCTCCGTGTCGTCTGTAAGCAGAGCAAGGATGGCCGGTTCTCAGGGCAGCTCCCGCATCGACAAAATCTTGGAGTGGCGCCATGCCCAGTCTCTTCCGGGGCTGAACGACGTGCGGGATTTTTGCCATCAACTGGAGCAGTTCCAGGCGGCCCGGCTGGCGGCGCCAAGCGGACAGGCGTCTGGTTCCAGTGGAGCGCCCCAAGAAGACAAGAAATGGAGGCGAGCGCGAGACCTGCATGGTGCTCTCATGTCGGTGTGGGAGGAGTCGTTGGCGGACGACCAGAAGATCTTTGATGCCGTCATTCATGCCGGGATGGGCTTCCAGACCTCCCTTGATATGCAGCCGTTGGCGCCGGCTGTAAGAACAGAAATTATAGCACAGTTTGAGACCATGTGCTACATGGGTCTCAAGCCGGCATGGGATGCGGCTCGGAGGGATAATGAGTTGTCGCAGCTGCGGTTGCTTGACAACAAGCCGGTGGTATGGCGGGCTGCGGAGGCGATTGAGGATGATATTCGTGCGGCCAGGTTGAAGGTCATCGATGACTATTTCCACCAGCGGTTGAAGGTGCAGTCTTTGGAGGAGGCGTTCCTGGAGGACGGACGGGTGAAGGCGCTTGAAGCAGACAGGACATTTCTGATGCGGTTGCCGCCGGCCCCTCCCAGGAAGGACATGCGCTCACCAGCTCTGCGAAGGGCGATTGGGGAGTGGCATGCGCGTGATATGGAGATCAAGGAGAAGTGGAGGATTGATGCCGCCCGGCGGAAGTCCGGGTGGGTGGCCTCAGCGGGCACCGGCCCGACCGACTGCGGGAGGATACGCCACCGGGCGGAGAGGCATGGTGATTCCGGCGCAGCCAGCATACCGGGTGCGGCCACCGACAAAACACATTTTGATGCGACATGGGTATCGATGAAAATTGGAAGGCGCAGGGATCGGGAAGGGATGTCCGAGACGGAACGGGCGTGGCCGTGAGAGATGGTCAGTGAGGCTGCTGACTTAGGGAAAAGATGTGGGATCAAAGGAGTTCCGTACTCGAAACAGAGACCGTACATGGCGGTGCGCGGGCTGGCCAGGCGGCCTAGGTATCCACCGGCAAAGTGGCCGTGAGAAGGATCTCGATCCCTTAGGTGGACCCTTTCGGGACCTTTTCGTTTTATTTTATGAACCCCGGATCCAGTGAATACCGGGAGCAGGTTTTAAGCAGATTGGTAGTCACTTCCCCGGCGAAGAGTGTTCTTGCTTGCAACCGGAGCACCTGAACGGGCCTCCTCACGAAGTGGGGTTGGGACTTGACGGTCGGGCGGGTGGTTCCCTGCAAAGGGATAAGCCCAACGTCCTGTGTGTGGCGATTTTGATCGCATTTCGACGCGGTGACTCGGTATACAGTGTTTTCCGCATGTCGAATTCTGCTGTGCCAACCCCGAAGGGTCGTGCCATGCCCGGGCACAGATCTTTACAATTAAGAATATACAAATCCCCATTTGTAGCCATACAATCCCTGCCAGATGAAAACCGCAAAGCATGAGTCAAGCTGACAAAATACCTAAAAAACTAGATCAAGAAGTAGAAACTAAAACTCCCGCCACAACAACTACATCCTCACGGTGTCCCCCTGCTCCTTTGAAGGTCAACCTGCAGAGAGACACACAGGAAACTCAGAGACACTCGCTGACTGAGAGGCAAGCTCGGTAGCTGCGAAAAAGTTGGAAAGAGCTGTCTGCTAAAGTTACTGATAACTGAGAGGTGTATGTGCACATAGAATCAACAAGAAACTGGACGTCAAACTGTATGTTGACGATGTGCTGATCTCGTTTGACGGTGTCCAAAATCCTGGAAAATATATAAAGGATTAGACAAGAGTGTTTGTAAACCCTAACCAACTGTCCCAACTTTGTAAGGCAGTTGGTTCTGCTCAACTAACCCTAACTAGTATCAATTTGATTGTCCAAGGACCAGTATTGACAGCGAGGGCTGCAAGCCTAATTCGGAAAGTAGGTGCACTGGTCGGGCTCCTCATTTGGCCTTTAATGCACGGGGAATCTCTCCAGCTTGCCAGTCTGGCCAGGGAATAGCCAGACTGAAAGGGCAATTGAATTTTCTGTGGAATTCTGAGCGCGTAAGGCGCTATCAGAATAGGCAGGAAAGGGACGCAGCACCCGTCACGTCACAGCCTGTGACGGGTGTGATTGCTGGTCCAGTTCACTTTCAGCTGGCCTGTGCATTTACAGCTGGAATAGCAATAGGTTGTTGTGTGTCCTTAGGGTCCCTTTGTTTGGGGATCTGGGTTGGACACGTTCTCTAGAGTGTATACACGGGGCCGTGACTCATCAGCCGTAACCGGCAGTCACACGTAATGGCCATTCGACAGTATGTATTTTTTGGGGCGTACTATGGTCAGTTACCTCGGTGATGGTGGTGCAGTAAGGCCCATCACTTGCAATGAGCCACGTGTGTGTTACGGAGCCGATTCACATGCTGGGACATATGCGCCAGACCACCAGAGCGACAGCCTTTCTCCAACCTCGCTCCCCAGGGAATTGTGGGCCATATCCCCGCATCGCAAATAGATCATGTGCCGATCGTGTTGCGGCACCTTTGAATTCCATCCGCAGGTGCCTGTGGCTTGCTTGCCCCTTCCGCCCAATGTGGCACTACAGCACGATGTTGGATGCTTTTACAGGGGCTACATTCCGCCGCTGTCGAAGTCCACTCAGTATTTTCTCCCGTTCCTGCGCCCCTCTGAAGGCGATGGCAAGATGAACAGGTTCTGACAGGCACTGATTGATCAAAAGGCCGAGGCACAACTTGCTTAGAATAGAAACGTCAAATTTCGCTGTGATGAAGGTTTGTGGTGGGTGTGGAAAGGGTGCGGTATGCTCAAACAACTCTCCACATCAACACTGCAACGTCGTCCCTCATCCGAAGCCGCTTGCGCAACCAGCACTGAGGTGATGACCTCCCATGAGCACCCATGACGTGCAAAAATGCCGCGACATTACACCTAAAGCCCTACAATGAACAAACCTAGAAGATGGCCGTCAGGTCCTTGGTCCGTAGAGGTGACCTCAGCTGACGTGGTGCCTGCAGCGTCGTATTGATGGATCCATGCAGCAGCTGCTTCACAGGCAACAGGATGTTTCGGCCGCCATCCATTTGGCATCTGTACGGGGCCTGTTTACCCTGTCTGGCGGCTGCGCATCCCAATGGATCCACTATGCGGCGAAGAGACACACTGACGGCTGCTGCAGGCAAAAACCCTCATGACGCTGCACCTAAGTCGCAAATCGGCGCCGCTGAAGCCAGGCGTCAACACCTCCACAACCGCGGCCTCAAGCTACTGACAACTCAGCGCATCACTCGCAGTATCCGTGTGAGCAGTTTTGCGGCATCCACCTGCGGGCGCCTTGGCGTGTTGGCAGGTCATTTGGGTCCGTTCTTGGAGTTGAATCTGTCGCCATACTTCTCCACCATCGCCACAGACATGTCCTTGTATGGCTTCTTGATCTACATCGAACAAGAGACCGAGGGTTACAAAACGTACGCTGGAGTCTGGACGAAGCTCCCACCAATTGCAGTGCGAGTTCTCACAGACTCAGCGCCCAATTCCACACTACCGCGACAGTGTCATGCAGCTCAGCACACCCTGTACGCCGCTTCATGGCTCGTGGCGTCATTGTGTACGTGTCGCATGCACGGATAGTTCAGAGACTGGAAGGCACCAGCAATGTGGCCATGAAGAACCATGCGTTTGACCAAGAGTCGATGAAAGGGTGAGCGTAGTGTTGCCTGTGCTTGACAGCGATGTTTGGGGGCGCGCTCGGGCAGAGTTCCATATCACAGTTTCCAGATGGTGTTCGTGTCATACAGTGTCAGCTATCGCCAGCCCCATTAAGTCACACCCAGCTAAGAGGGGGCTGACCTGTGAATACACTCCTCCCTACAGTAGTATACACTGATAAAACACATCGCAACCCACGATTTCGTAATTTTTGCAGAGGCCCGCTCACAAGCACAAATTTTCGTGGTTCTGACAAACTGTGAAACCAAGAGTACCTGAAAGTTACTGTGCCATGAGCAACAATTACCAACGTCGAGCTCGAAGTGTAGCGACGTTAGACGTATGGGAGACGTGGACAATTTAACTGGCGATGGGTGCGCACACCCAATGAAATTTTATCACCCAGAGACCCGGCGTGCAACGTGATCTGATGGCTCTATTCTCCGTGACGTTTCACCAAAAGCAAAGTGGAAACAGCTTCGACAACTTGCCTCGTCCCTCTTTGCTTTCACATGCTCTGGGCGCCTGTCTGAGATGATGCCCTCCAGGTCATCACGTTCGACCGCCAACTGACGTTTTACGCGGATCGCCAGTAGCAGCCCAAGGGCCTTGCAAAACCACACATGCGGACTCACACCCACGTCGAAAACTCTCCGCCACTATACAGTGTTGAAGCCATTTGATGGCTGGTATTGTTTGCAACACAGCTGTGGGTGCTGGGCTTACCGAAGAAACGACGGTCAACGCCCCAAAAGCAATTATATATGGCCAAAAATCGTCGTACTCCTCTCTGAAACGCTCGAGATCCTTCTCGTCTGCAATGCAGATGTGCATGGTGTCAATTCCAACTGGGAAATTCTCAAGGCCTTTACAAACTCTTTTAAAAAATGTTGTAACTTTCCTGCATCAACATTCCAAATTGACCAGGCCACCCCCTGAGCGACCACGCTGCGCAGTTCGAAATCGGACTGTTTGGCCGATTTCGGCAAGATTTCGGCCAAACAATCCGATTTCGGCAAGATATTCAATGCTGCTCTCATAACAGAGAGAAGTAGACTTTCATTGAAGGCTGTCGTCAATATGGGCAACAGCACCGCGCAATGGATTTCCACCGCTTTCCACACACTGGTGAGGCCCAGCCTGCTCCATGTTTTCAGAACATGCTTCAAGAACATTTGCACTCACCAGCGTACTTCTCTGTCAGATCATCAATCCACTCCGTCTGCGGAAAGGCACCACAGCCACCATCAGTGCTGGTGCACAACGGACTGTAAAGGACCGACATACCAGCAGTTTCCTCCGAATGGCTCTGGATCGCCTATAGCCAGGCTGCCTGCGACATACTATTGTCGACGTTGCGGTTCTCAACACGCTTGATCAGAGAGTACTCCCAATTGCCAAATACACAGCAATCAGATATGCATGCACTCCCCTTCCGCCCTGGATCTGGTGTGCATGCAGCATCTTTAAAATGTCTGGCTTCTGCAAAAGCATGCCTGCAGGCATGCATGCCGAAAATGACAGGGTTTGTGCCCTCCATGCAATAGAAACTCACAGTGCACCGCACCTTCTTTACACTGGCAGCAATTAACAACACCACTTCGATAACCACCAGTATGAACTCAGACACAAGATACACCTGCATTGAGCACAGGAACACTAATTTTGACTTGCTGCACCGCAAGCATCAGGAACATCACTGGCATTGGCACCAACTATCTCATGAATTCAGCCCCCATAGCTGTTATCTCACTGCAGAAGAGACTATGTGTACCAGCGCTAGTGTGGGGCTGTGATAAGTTGGCATAGGCGCACTACCAGGAATGAAGCCACATTGAACAGTCAACTATGTGGTCAAGCACAATGTGCAACACTATGGACCGCGTGCAGTCACATTTGTGGTGATGTATTTTTGTGTCTGTCCCTACTGTCCACACATCCCAGGCTTGGGAACAGCCACCAAAGTTGTGGCCACAATGTAAGTCCCAAAAATCCACACAGTGTCATCTGTCGCACCCTGCCAGCTCCTGATTTCATCACCCCCTTCTCCATGAAACAATCTTTCAACCAAGACGCATATCCTTCCCACACTGTCTGGCAAAGCAATATCTCACAAATACATTGTCTGCAGGGTTCCGAACGACAGCAGAATTATCTAGTACGCATGGGAAGGTACAAATCCAAATCGCCCAACATTTGGAAAGCAGCATGACGGCAGCGATGAGGGTGAGATCGCAAAGTTGCTGCTTTGTAGCATGCACACACAGTCAAACAACGATAGCTTGCGCCTCTGTGCTGTTATGTCACAGGGATCCCGCACTAGCGCACTTGTGGAAAAGCATGGATTGCAATGCCTTGAAATTCACATAGCGAACACGTTAAAGTACACAAGCACTCAACTGATGCCATGTTCTCATTGAAATTGCGCACATACCCAGAGTCCAACGTGGAGGCAGAGCGTCACACCCTGAGAAACAAGAATGCCTGGATATCACAGGAAGGTTGTTTCAACTCCTGGTGACGAGGGCACATTGAAAACTGATAAAAGGTGAAGGTTGTGGGGGATCAATACGGGCACCAATATACTGCTGCATACCACATGCATGCACATGCATGCAGGGGTGCCATTGTTCCCAAGCCGCTTGTCCTGCTGAAACTTTTGACAACAAATGCCATTGAAGAAAGGGAAAGAGTGGAAGACAGCCACCATGTTCAAAGCAAGAAGAGGATGAAAAACTCAGGGGGGCAGAATATGGTATGCGTACATGTCACCGGTAAGAAGTGCTGCAAAATGTGCTGTCAGCAATGGAATCAAATTGCCGACTGTTCCACAGTCGATGGCAAGTAACCACCTGAGAGTTGTTCTGTGCGTGAGTCTACGCAGGGTCCTTGCAACATGCACTGCAACAACCTGCAGGCCGCTGGTCACTTCTGGAGGTTTGTGTTTACATGTCCAGTTTGGGACAATGCAGTGCTGACATGCTTGATGGGTGCGACATGATGGTGTAACATTTGTCCCCATTGAAAAATGTGAGCGATTTTTACACAGCACTCACTCTGCCTTTCCTTGCCACTAAGGCAGCACAGGGTGGCATACTGCATCGATGATATCACCCTTATGGTGAAAACTGTACTGCGAAGTGGAGTTACGCACAACCCGCACAGCTGGCAGAGATCCTGGCCCCTTGGCAATAAATACTAGTTGGGGAATGAGCACAACCAGCTATCTTTGCAAGGCACGTTCAGCTGCTGATATACTTTGATGAACAGCAACACCACTGGCACTTGGATACTGAAACATGATGCAACATTCTGGATTCAAAGAAATACATGCACAGAGCTCCTAGTTGTGGGAAGAAGCCACATAGGGTGTGGAGGGCAGATGTCGATTACTACCTGCAATGTGTGCCTTAGAGAATGATACGCAGCCACCAGATGCAACAGATTCATCTCTCAAGAGCAGCAAATAGGTGGATCAGTTGTGGCTCCTAGTGCATTATCTGTTTGAAAGGTGTTCGATGCCCATCCTGCTGTCCTGCTGTGGTCCAAACAAATGCTGTGGTTTCTCTGCTTACAACAGCACCCCTGTCCACAATTTTCTTTTGGGAGCCCCCTGCATGCCTCGAGGGTCGCCTTACCCAGGCAGCTCACAGCAATAACAACAATGCCAAACGCGCACACTATCCAGGAAAGAGGAGACCAGTTGACTTCTGTCTGCAGAAACACAGGTCACACAGCCGTCAGCGCCCTTTGCAGTGTTTGGTTCAGAGGCATTATGGTCTTCTGCCTCAGCAGGGTATGACATCGCTCAGTTACAAGTGCACACATCTCAAGGAAGTCAATGAACGTACACTGCCTTCAAACAGGGGAAGACAGCTGCATCCTGTTGGATTATGACAAAAACGTCAACAAAGCGGAACATTTGACACGAAATTTAGCACATCAAGAACAGGGCTCCTCTTTCTTGGGTCTGCATATGTTGCTTCAAGCACACAACAATGGCATGTGTTGGGGCAGCATCGAATTCAACTCTCTGTGGGGAACGAGTTGCCTACTTTGGACCATCACAACAATGTAATTAGACCAACCAGAGGTGCTTGCCAACTGCTCCAAGTCACGGGGGCAGGTATACTGTCCTCAGGTCCTATTGTTAACCCCTGGCCCACATCACAGGTTTGATGGCTACGGCCATATTGGCAAGCACGTAGGTACAGATCGAATGATTCCGCACCAAAGCAACCAGTGCAGTGTCTCTGGGCCCCAAACAGTTTCTAGCGATCGGACCGTCGCCGGAGCAATCGACACATGGCGCAAAATTCCCAGTTTCAAGGGCAGGCGCAGTGCACTTTCTTTTTTCAGATTTGGCTCTTCAGACAATTGCCTGTGCACAATCAACATGCCCCTGGCGTTCTCGGTGTGGCGTACCCCGTTCCACACCCCCAGGCCCGCCACCGCCGCGCCGCAGACCTGCGTGTGCACTCAATTTCAATACCCGGCGTAGCCTTCGCTGCTCTTGGGCCTGACTGTACTATGCGCATGGCTGCAACATCTTGACACAAAGTCAAAAGCGTCGCAACCTTCGAGGACTCACTCGAACGCAAAAGATTGGCGCGTGCCCCCCACGTCTCCCGGTCAACAGGCCCTCCTTAACGCTGAGACAATGACCGAGCGGACAGGCGCTTGCGTCCCCCAACCCGGGGTTGGTGCTCAGAAAACCGCGCCCCGAAGAAAGTACTAACAATGACTCACACATGGCGCGCAGGTGAACAAAACTGGCGGTAGGTTCCCTAACGAACCGTTCAACCGTTGCGAAACCCAGGGTCGTCTCTCAACTCGCAGGCTCTCCCGCATCCCCAGTGCTGCGGGATTTGTCCCAAAACTGCGTCCTGGCAGGTAAACGCCTAAGGGAAGACAAGACTTCCCCGAAGCGCACGTGCATCCTCGGCGCCAGTGACCCGACTGCGCGTCCCAGTCCGCGACGGGGGTGGCGAGCCCCCATCGAGCCCAGGAACACAGGCGCCAAACTTCTTTGCCAAAATTGCCTTGACGGACAAAGCGGCGCCCCTGCACGTTGGCGGCGCACATCCAAAAACAATTCTCCATCCCTCGTCTCCTCATCGCAGTTGCAGGTGCGCTCACCGCGCTGATGAGAGAAAACAGCAAGAGGCATGAGCTTTTCACCCTCATCGTCGACACCGCAGCCGTTCCCCGCTGCGCCCCGCAGGTGGCTGGCGCGGCCAAATGCTGCCGCGGCCTGCTTGCCGCCTTTGAGTCGCGCGGGTCGGGGCGCGGCGTCTCCTGGCCGCGCACGCGGGCTACGGTGTCCGCAAGGGACGGGCTGCGCAAGGTGCTACCGGTCGCGGGCGGCAGCCAGGCTTGAGAGGGCGTCCGAGGCACAATTGTGCTTAAAGTACCACTGCTGTCCGCACCTGCGGCCGGCGCCAGCCAAGCGGGGCTGACTGTGCCACAGAGGGCCGTCTTCGAACGTCACAAGTACTTCTTGGGGCGCTGGTGGCCATGGGGGCCTGAAGTCTCGGGCAGTTTCTTCATAGTTTCCTCCGGTCACCCACTGGGACAACCCCGCGCTTGTCTCCATACCCCACCCAGCCCCCGAGCACACAGCCTTTGGACAAGCCACTCATTCCGCGCAGCCCGGAACACCCCTCCCCCGCCCGCAGACCCCGCCAGCTCTCCGCGAGAACTCGCCGCGACCCGCAGCGACCGGCCGGCCGGCGGGTGGCCGCCATGGCGTCCCTGTCCCTGCCGACGGCGTGCCTGGCGCTGACGCTGCTCACCCACTGGGCGGCGGCGCAGAGCGCCGGTGCGCCGCCCCCCAAGTTTGTGCCCCGGACGTCGGGCCCGTCCCCCCTGGCCCGCGCCAATGCGGACTTTGCCTTCCGGATGTACTGCCGGCACCTGGACTCCCACGCCTCCAGCAACTTCGCCATCTCGCCGGCCAGCGTGACCCAGTCGCTGGCGCAGCTCTACGCGGGCGCCGCGGGGGCCACCGCGGAGCAGATGCGCAACGTGATGAAATTGAAGGGGGAGCCGACGGATTTGGACATGCACAGGGAGTTGGCGGGTCTGGCCGCGCCTGGGGACGGCGAAGGGTACAATTTCAGCCTGGCGAGCCGTGTGTACCTCAACGAAGGCTTCGAGCCCCTGGAGGGCTACAGCAGCCTGATCGGGGACGTGTACGGCGCAGAGGCTGAGGTGCTGGACTTCGGGGCCAGCCCGGAGGCCAGCAGGCGCGCGATCAACGAGTGGGTGGAGGGCCGGACCGGCGGGAGGATCGCGGACCTGGTCCCGGAGGGCAGCCTGGGGCCGGACACGCGCATGGTGCTGGCCAACGCGTTGTACTTCAGGGCGTCCTGGGCGACGCAGTTCGACCCGGCGGAGACGCAGAAGGCCCAGTTCCGCGCGGGCGGGGACGGGAACTCGACGGTGGACATGATGAAGCTGGAATCGATGTTCGCGCACGCGGCGGTCACTGAGCGAGATTTGCAGGTGCTGGAGCTGCCCTACAGTGGCGGGCGGTTCTCGATGTTCGTGGTGCTGCCGGACGCGGCGGACGGCCTGCCAGCCGTGGAGGCCAGCTTCTGCGACGGGAACGGCAACGGTGGCAGCGTGGTGTTCGGCCTGAACGAGAGGCTGACGCCCCGCGTGGTGGTGGTCAACCTGCCGCGGTTCAGCGTGGAGGGTTCCGTCGAGCTGCACGACCTGCTGCCGGAGATTGGGATGCGGGACGCCTTCAACGCGTCAGCCGCGGACCTGTCGGGCATCGACGGGCGCGGGGAGCTGTACGTGACCGCCGCGCAGCACAAGGCCTTCGTGGAGGTGAACGAGGAGGGCACGGAGGCCGCAGCGGGCACCGCCATGCAGGTGGCCATGAGGTCGCTGCCGCCAACGTTCGAGGCGGACAGGCCGTTCATGTTCTACATCATGGATAACGCGAACAAGGCGCTGGTTATGCTGGGGCGGATGTGGGACCCGGAGGTGAAGGCCTGAGGGGCCCAAGGGAGACCAGCTTGGGTGGGGACTTCTGCTCAGCCTGGGGCTTCGGGTCGCCAATTTTACGCGCTAGTCTCCGGGTTGCTGGCCCCCTGGAGGCGGCCATGGATGAGTTGTTGAAGTCCATGCATTTGAGAGTGTTCAAACCCTGTTAACAGCGGCGCTATCTCATGCGTCGCAAGGGGAGGGCACGTGCCAAGCAGCAAGGTAACCAGTGGTGTACCATTCTTGGGCGAATGTGCTACTACAGGCGCTGTGAGTATTCCTGCCAGAGTCAACGATACTCTTGAGAGGGCGCTGCCTTGGTGGATATTGGATATGCACATGGTGAGCTGTGAGTGAAGGCAGCAAGTCATGCTGTTTACCTCTCTGCTGTGCTGCGCGCATTGCCTTCTACCTTGCTTGGATGCTGGCTTGGAGAGAGGTGGACAGGCCTTCTGTGCATCCACTGTTGTGTGGTCCTGGGGACATGCCATGACCAGAGGACAGTGGGGTCCTTTATGGTGTGGCATCATCAGGCTGCAAAGGAGCAATAGCTCGTGAGCTGGAACGAAATCTATTTTTGTGGCAGTGTAGACAGTTTTGAGGTTCAAATTTCCACCCAGTTATCTGTACCTGCAGGGACTGGCTCTGAACACCTGTGGATCCAGTTCCACGTTTGTGGTGCCGGGGAATGGACTCCCTTGGGCACTGAGGGCAGAGATGTAGCCTGTGGATTGGGCTGGGGCATAGGTGGGGCAGCGATCTTGGTCAACCGTGGGCTGCATGGCACAGTGTCCACAGCAGGGACAGCCGTTCGGTGTGCGACGAGTACCTGCAAGTGTCAGTGTAACCATTCTGATTGAGGTGATCATCAGCAGGCACTTTCAAGGCTGGATTGGCAGTCAAATTCAACACTATGTGGGAACTGTCTCGCCCTCCCCCCTGGGCAGGTTGATCGATCATTTGAGTATTTGTGTGTACACAGATGGGCAACCTACTTGTGCACAGGGCACCAGTGGTTTGCATGTTTTGCACTTGCCGATCACATCTCAGATTTGTGAGAATCGCTTGCACCCACCCATGTACTGGCTTGTTTGCTTGTTCTTTCATAGGCATCGACTTTCTGCACTTTCGACGCTGGTATATGCCACTTTCCCAAATGAACACACAGCATTCCCTGCACATTGGTTATTGCTGTGCACAAGAATGTGCCCACAGTACATTGATTCGATGCGAACTGTACGGCCTGCTGCTTCCATCGCATCAGCAAGTGGAAAGTAGTGGCGAGGGGGAAGCGTTAATGGATGCAGATTCAAGCCGCAATGTGTCCAAAGGAAGGCAGAAATGGACGTGAATGACCTCCAGCAGCATGGCAGTGAATGTCATCCCTATCTGCACTCTCTTCTGGTTCTGTCTGTGTTCACACACCTCGTCCCCAGAGAATGATCTTGGAAGAAGAGCGTCGTTATCACGATGCAAACACCAGCCCACCCCATTTCCAGTGGGTATTAAAACTCTGTCGTTCTGGTCAAATACTTTCAAGCACCTTCTTTGTACCCCTGGTTTTGGGCCGTTGCGTCACACCAACAACTGAAAAAAGAGTGATTGAACGGCCTTCATCCTGTCAATTTGGGAAGCAGCGGCCCAGCCAGATTTCGTCCGTCCGCGCAAGGCCAACCCAGCACACCCCAGCGACGCCGCCCAAACAACCGCCGTCGCCTGTTCCGCTCGCCCCCTCCTCGACATCCACCACTGCCATGGCTTCGCGGACGTCCAACGTGAGCGTCGTGGCCCTCAGGCCCGTGCTGACCTGCAAGGCGCCCGCGGCCACTCGCAGACCGTCGCTGCCTTCCAGGCGGCGGTTGACGGTGCAGGCTTCAAATGAGGTGGGAGCAGGACTCACGCTCTCTCGGCTGATTCAGGCCCATGAACAACCATCACCACGCATTCCTGCAGTTCTGCGTGCGCCGTGCGGTAGATGGTGGAAATGCACGGCAGGAGCGGCGATGGGCGTTGCCATGTTGGCGAGGCCGTTGCTAGTGGGAGTCATCGAAGGGCGTGGCGTTGAACACCGCGCTTTCCGTGGATTGATTGTGGTCGTCTTTGCTGTAGATCCATTATTTCATATGTTGCCTTGCGCGGTGCCAGACGCCACCGCAGGGCCAGCACCAGGCATTGCTGTTTGCGCCACATGCATCAGAATCCCTTCAGCCTGAAAGACCGCTGCTTGCTCGTTGCTGCCCCTCAGGTCGCCACACCCGCAGCTGTAGCGTGCACGGCGGCGGCTGGATTGGCCCTAGCGCTCCCTGGGGCCTCTTCCGCCGCCCAGGAAGTGATGACTGTCGCGGCGGTGAGTGGTGATGGCGCTGGCGCGGGGCATGTGCCCACACCAACTCTTGTAGGGTGCGCTGATGCTTCGCAGCACTGTAGTGCCTCTGGCCTGGAACGATGGAGCTTGTTCTTATAGCGAGCGCGGTCACTGCCACGGTCGCTATGGGGATGCCATCGCAAAGCAGCGAGGTTGCATGCAGCTGCTCTGTACTGCGAAGAATTGTGGATTGGCCATCACACACACCATGGCAAAACACAGCGGTTCTGTTGCGTGTTGTTTCTGAACAAAGATACTGGGAGAGCATCTTCGAAGCTCCAAGTGTCTGCAAAACGCCATACCATGGCCCTGGAAGCCCCTGCCTCCACATCATCAAGAGGCCACAGACCACACGAAACCCAAAAGTGGAAACTGAAATCTGTGTGTGCGTTTGGTGCCATTGCAAGCACTTGTCTTGGAAATATCCCATTTTAGCAAGCGTTGGCAGCACACATTTATGCCAGAGGCAGTGTCCTGTTCCTTTTGCAAACACCTTGCTTGTTGGTGGTCTTGATAAGGCTGTTTTATCTTCAGGGCGAGCCACTGATCGTCGTCATTGGATGGGCCGCTCTGGCTACCAGCTTCACAATGTCGATCGCACTGGTGGTGTGGGGAAGGAGTGGTATGTAAGCGCACTTGTCTGGAGAGGGATGACGGGGCACATCATGGATGGCTATAGGAGGGAAATCTGTTGCTGGGTTTACTGTACATTGCATGGCATACCCTGATGGAGCAGGCACAACAGACAAGCTCCTTCCTTGAGAAGATGGAAGTGCAGCCAGACTTGTGGCTGCTTGGTTTAGTTCCTATTTTTTGGGTTGTAAAAGCTGAAAATCATTTAAATGCGATTGTGACAGGGAGCGATCACCTGTTGAGCTGCATACAGTGACCTGGAGCCCTTCCCCAAATTGGCCTTTTGATTGATTTGTTCTCAAAACCGATCAGCTCACAAGGCGTCCATGATGTGATTATTTTGGCTCTGGACATTTCTGGGATGCTGCGATGAAAGATTGGTCTTATTAGTGTAGTTATGAACGGGTGCTTTGATCGTAGCAGCACGGAGGACAGATTCGACCGCAATTTTGCTGCTGGGTGGGGACGATGCAGTGCACACAACATTTTGCTGGTGAATGCTACTGGAATATCTAGGCAGGAGACGATGTAAATGACGTGTTCTTCCAACAGCAGTATAAACACCCAGGACATCTTCTTCAGGCAAAGTCTTGACCTGAACAATGATAACAATGTTGAGTGACGCCAATGGCCTCAAGGGAACAAGTATGGGAGGTTGTGTGCACATAGTCGTACGCACTTGGGTGTTGACGTGAAAATGATTGATTTTCACGATGTCCAATGCATGCGCAATGCCCGAAAGAGGAATCGTGCTAAATATCCAAATTACATTGTCTAAATTATAGGGCTGAGTGTTTCGCCGAAATCAAGGAAGCCAGGCGATCATTCCACCTCCAGACAGGTGACGTCATCGATTGCGTTTTCCTGTGCCTTGGCAAACACAATGTCCTGAAATCGTATAAATGGGTCCACGAGGTAAAGCAGCAAAATTGCGCGGCAGGCCGCCGATGACTCAAAACACCGTGTCCCATTTTGCTGTGACGTTCCCCATATGAACGAGATCAAGAGCGGCACAATGGAGTCCGGCATCAAAGGCACGTGAGATCCGCAGAACGGAATTCTGCTGGACGTGCTGACAACCACGCTCTTGGACCTTAAATGCAAGAATGCTTGCAAAAGATACACAGTGTATGCCCACATCATACCATGCGACAATGTGTGATTAATACTTGGCAATTGTACAGCTGGGAACCGTCAAATTCAGTTTATCAACTTCAATGGGTGCCAAACGATATGCAGCCCCACGCGTGCATTGAAGCTCTTCATTTTGCTGCTGGTAGAGAAAGACAGCCAGGGTTTACCCACAGTCATTTTCAAGTTTTCAAGCTTGCATACTACGTGCTGGAAGTACGAACAAGAGCACTGAGCCTAAGGGCATGGTACAAATACCTGGTCTTGTTAAGTGTTTCAGCATTGAAGGCCTACGGGCCAAAGCGCTGCCAAAGTGCCCAATGGTTTTGGCGGCCCCTTGGGGTTTCTGTCCCCCTGTACCTTGGGTCAGTGGCTGGTCCGTCGCGTTCAAGGAGGGCCAGTGGTTTTGGCGCCCTTGGGAGCGGCGGTCTTTGGCGGGCGCGAGCGGGGAGGCTACTTAGGCTCACCCCTCGGTCCCCACCTTATCTTGTTTCGCTTCGCGCCAACCCTTTGGCACAACCCGGACCCACCGAGTGGGTCTCGACCTCCGGCTCTTTGCCGAGTTCTTGCCTATGAACCCGTCCCCTGCGGAGCAGTGGTGCCGGGACCAAGCTCGCCGGTTCAACAACCGTATTCCGAGCTCCGCTATCGAAGCCTGCTGGTTGCCCGACCCGGCGCTACTCCCCCAGTCCGTCAACAACCCGGTCGCCCGACCGGTGGGCGCCCGTTCGCCGTACTGGTTCGACGTCCGCGACACCGCCGAGGGGAGTGCGGTCGCCGCCTCTTTGGGCGCCAACTCCGGGTACTTCCAGGAGTACGCAGGCTGGGCTCCTCCGGTCTCCTGGCTGTTCGACACGACCGCGGCCTTTGTGGAGGTGGCCGC